CTCTCCCTCTTATTCTGATCTTCAACATTAGATCGTCTATGGTGTGTTTATGTCACCACGAAATGTATCTTTATGCATTAGACATCCGACAACATTCATATTTCTCTTACTTAAACCCCTTCCACTCACCTCTTCTAAAATTCTCTCTGTTAAGGTTTAATCTCCCTCCTTCTCTCGTCTGTTACCCCTCATACTTACACTCTCTCTAAATTCATTTTTTTATTTCCGGAGTTGTTTTTTCTGTTTTCTTTTTGAATTTGTAGGTCTGATGAATTGGATCGTATTTACGATTCCTATGGAATAAATTATGACCATGGAATGTTAGTGTTTAAGCCCTTTTATTTTATATATATATATTATATATATATATATATATATATATATATATATATATATATATATAGTGTATAAAGAGACCCGGATATAAGAGAAAACCTGGATATAAGAGATTTTATCTGGTCCCAAAGTGTTCCCATACTTACCTAAACAAAATAGACTAAACCCGGATATAAGAGACTTCTTCTCCCGTCCCGACAACTCTTTTATATCCAGGTTACACTGTATATATATATATATATATATATATATATATATATATATATATATATATATATATATATAAAAAAACTCAAACACTAATATTCTATAGTGTTTGAGCCTTTTATATTATATTCTTACTCTGTCCTGGACATTGAGTTCTACCTGGATTCTATCCTCTTGGGAATTTACATATATATATATATATATATATATATATAATGAATCTATTATGTTCTTAGCATATAAATCCTAACACTAAACAAGAGATACAAACCATTGATTATAATTCTTATGTATTTAGCGCCGAATGAATTACAACATTTTCTTCTTCTAGGTGACATGACCTTTCAGTACGTCTGCGATCATGCCTTTACACAATTTTCCTTTGTGGCTCTTAATGAATTTTGTCTTCTGATACCTCTCCTAAAACCTATCTGGTCACTTAAGCTTCCTAGTTAAATTTAATATAGTATTCCTATATTCGCTTACGTTCAATCACTCCTGTGAATATCAAATTTTCCAAGCCTTCTTTGCTAATTATTTTTAACTGTTCTTTCCTGTTGTTACGTATAAGTGTGATTTTCTCTAAAATTTCACCGTTGCTCTCATTTTAGTCCATGATATTCTTAGCATCCTTCTATAAAACCGTATTTCTGTTTCTTGAAGTATTTTCCTCGTCTAGAACGAAATTGTCCAGTATTCATTGCCATTTATGAGGACTGATATAACGTAACAGTTCAGTAGTATTTTCCTTGTTTTGAAACGAATGATTTTTTGAATGCTTACTGAATTATCGTAAAAATTGAACAACTTAATTTCTTTGTTTATAACGAATTTTTTTCTCTTTCTTAATACTTTCCTTAGCTTTTGAAAGGCATCAGTTACTTGACCAATGAGCCTTCGGATTACTGTGCTGCAACTTTCCCATATCTCTTTAATCACTTCCTAGATATTTAAATTGTTTTACTTGATTCTGGTATCACCATTTTGTAATTGGTATGTTAGGCTCTTTATTTTGCTAATAACGATGCATTTTGTCTTCTTACAATTGATATTTAGTTCCTTCTTCTTGATTTCCTCCACTACTTTTTACAGGAATTCTTGTAGTATTCTTTCTGTGTCTGTTATTAACAGTCATCTGTTAAAATTGTGGCCGCCAATAATGAATCCTGCAAGGACGTGTAATTATCTCAATATTCCCTTACTCTAAAGGTTGAATCCTTGTTTTACACGCCTTTCTATATTCGCATATTTACAGAATTCATTTTTTATCCGTACGCATGACCTTTGCTGTCATTATAGAGTCTGGATTATTCTGATATCCTTACGTTTATATCACGATTATCACATTCCGTTACTATTTACTATTTATTATACAAACGTTTTTCAAAAGCCAACATAATCATTGCTAACAACTTATAACCTAGAAAATTATTCTTCTATTAAAAAGAATGCTGATTATCAATTCACGTTCCTTTTGAGAGATTTTATCTAATAACTAAAAACATTAAAGTTTTATATTGGTTAAAGAACCAACACACTTTCTCGTCGGTTAACATGCTGTTTATCAATACTAAATAACTACCAATACATCAAGTAATATGACTACTTATATTAGTCAGCTACTACTAAAATACTATATATCAGCAATTATAAAACAATACTTCCTTATTTTTATACAAATAAAACCAGCACCTTTTGGTATAAGGTAAAACGTTTTAAAACGTATTTAAAACTTTAGAAGAAAATAATATCTAATGCAATGTAATGAAAATAATATGTTGGCCCTTAAGCAATGACAAACTAGGTCGGTACTATTATATTTATTGGTTCAACTATAGAAAATATACATCAATTACATGTATTTAAAACGCCTGCACTGATGATCTCAGGTGTATTTGATACACATACAATAAAATTATAGGGTTTATAAAGAAAACTACATGTTCGAAGTTACACACGCATTAAACAGGGTGTTTCAAAATTGTTGAATAAATAGTAGATAGGGCGAGCAGGAGGACTGTGAGGACCTTGATGGTTTCAGCAGGATGACGCTCCTACTCACACTGCTAATATTACCATGGCATGGGTCCGTGAAAAATTTAGGAACGTCTCATCCATATATATATATATATATATATATATATATATATATATATATATATATATATATATAAGTTACGAAGAACTTGGTAAACCGAATGGGTCATTCCAAGGAGGATGAAATCCTGAGAGCTCAATGTGAATCCAGAGCTAATATTTAATGAAAAAAACAGACCACTTTAAGGTACCATTACAATAATGTATTTCACCCAAATCCTTTTTTGATCAGGTACCACTTCCAACAACGAAATGACAGGAAAAATGGGATTAGAAATTGATGGGTAGTTTAATTTTTGTAATTTAACAGGGAGGGTGATAGTTGTAGTTAACGAGACAAGGTAGAGTATAGAGAGGGGTAAATTTCATATTTCTCTTAAGCATGTTTTATATTGGGGTAGGAGGAGTGACCTAATCGTGACCTATTTAGATTGTTAACTTAACGGAAATGATATATAGGAATGGGAGGGTAGTGGGGGAAAAGAAAAGGAAAAATGGAAAGGAGATAGACAACAGTAATACAGATATATCTAAATGAGTGTTACGGCAAAGAGAGAGGGGGAGAGGGAAGTGAATCGAAAAGGCTGTAATTTTGTTTTAACAAAATTATGTAAAAGATAGATTTCAATGCTTGATAGAAATTTAGCTCCCACAATAGCAACATTTTAAATAAATTTCAAATTGAATATTAAAAATTACACTACCCATCAATTTCTAATCCCATTTTTCCTTTCATTTCGTTGTTGGAAGTGTTACCTGATGATCCGGAGTTCTTTAAAAAGGATTTTGGTGAAATAAATTATTGTAATGGTACCTTAAAGTGGTCTGTTTTTTCATTTTATATATATATATATATATATATACACGGAGAACATTTTTGAAATCTGACTTTGAGACCTATTAAAATGGCAACTTTATCAAACGTTTGTATTTTTTCGCCTATATTGTAGCATGCGTTTTTTTTTTTATATATAACTTTCAGGTTATTACCCCATTCTGCAAGTAAACTTCCGTGATTCAACACTAAAATCCAACAGTCATTTTTATTTCTTACATTGAAGATACAATGTACGACCCACCAGATACTTGCGATTAAAGCGGTCATTACCTAGCCACCCTATAACCATGACTAAAATTAGGCTTACATCAGGTTAAGGTTACTGACCACTTTTGTCATAAACACCAAGTAACGAATGACCACAATAATCTGCTCACTGTAAGAAATCTTAAAATATGTGAAGTGGTATTTCTATCTTGTGAGAAGTTAACAATACTGTTCGATATGCCTTAACAATAGCAAACGTGGCAAAAGCCAAATAAAAAACGGGATAAAACTTTTTAAAAGGTTTATACCATTTTTTACCAGAGAGGTGATATATCTACATTTAAAACAAAAACAAAACAGTATTAGTCTCATTTCCATTTGTAGGGAAAGTCTCTAAATGAAGTGAAAGAAAAAGTTTCTTTGACAGTATGAATGGATATGAACGACATCCGGGTGCTACTGCTATTAGTTCCTGCCTATTGCTAATACCACCGTATCTTTTCTACAGCCAGCGGTTTGTGCCAGACATGTTGTCATTATTCCTTCGAAACCCTGCTCTTCGTCAATTTCACAAAGCAACAAAAATCCTTTTTGTCAGCCATCCAGACAAATGGAGTTGTTCGAGAATAGACAGAGTCCACTGATTTCGAAAGCGTACTTACAACTTACCTTGCATCTATAACTACATAATATCTATGTTAACGGTAAATATTATATTAACAATACGTTAGTACAGCACCGAATATATTCATGTTCAAGGCACATATTATATTATCAATTAGAAAATCTGTATTCACGTTAAATTATATCAACATAAAAATGCTTCAATTATTTTTTATATCTTCAAGGATGTTTGAGACCGTTAATAAATCGCAAGTGTAATGAGCATATCTACCATTGTAGGAACCAAATGTAATTACCAATCGAGCGCGGTTTGAACTGACCTTGATACCTCGATTCCATCCCATGTTCTGGGGGATCCTATCATGTTGTTCATTGCAAGCCGCGCCCAGATACGTTGCTATAATTCGAGATCTGAATGCAAGAACTGGTTTTTAAGAGACATCATCCACATTCGTGTATGTGGTTCTCTTTTACGATGTTATTTAATAAATCAGAAAATCTAGCAGCTCTTTGAAAACTAAAGAATGTTCTATGCATATAACACGAATGAATATCATGCTGAAAGCTCAAGTGGATAACTGACATGTTATTGATATATTTACATTGAACGGAGGAATGATGTCGGCACACTTCAAAAAACGTACGCGCTCGAATAGTTCAGTATACTGATCCGGATTAAACGTACTCGAGTGAGTCTGCACTGGTTCCTGTACGATCACCGAAGTTAAGCAACATGTAGCCTGGTCAGTACCTAGATGGGTAGCCGCTTGTGAATAACAGGTGCTGTAAGCTTGTATGTGCGGATGGCCTAATGGATAAAGGCGGAATGATTAATAGAAGAGCCGAGTTCCAATTCCAGATAAACCCGTTATATACACTTGTACGCAAATTCCTTTGGGAAAGGTATGTATCTACATACATCTTCTCCCACCCTCAGCTTTGGGTTAATTAGTAAAACTTGTATCACTAAAACCCATAGTATCTCCAAAAACAAATTTGGTACAAAATATATTTCGGCATTAAATAATCCATAGAGACTGATATGCCGTAAAACATGAACAATCAATAAGTCGACTGAGTCTAGTATAAAATCAGTCTGGGTAGCAGACAAAATGTTTTTTTGTTTTTTTTTTTTGTTTTTTTATACACTTTAATTAGTATAATAGATGTGTGACTTATGCAGCTGGTATTGGAGTGGGAATAGACAACAGTGAGCCAATTTCAAATTTCAACCATAACTGTCTAGAATTCTGTTGTTTCTTCCTAAGGATATTTTTCCAATTTCTTAATAGTGTTAGTTTATGAAGAATATTTTTCGCCTTTACTATGCACATTCAAAATTCTGTGAATTATTTTATAGCGATTGTTACTACAAAAAAATGATTGTCAAATTTCTGGACCTGCTTCATTTTTACATGCCCGACATGTAACTCGTAAAATGGAATTCCTCTTTTGCGGACAACTACATTTTAAATCTTCTTACAGTTAATAGTTTTCCTTTGTTTTTATTTCCTCGGCAAGAGTTGCTGTTTTTCTTTTCTTTTCCTTTCAGCATCGACGCGTATGTTCTGTGGCAAATCTCGTGCTAATTTTGAGAACCAAATGAATACATCACTTCTACCACCTATGACTTAGATACACTGCTATACTGGGATCTTGAACCTTAAGTGACAAGCAGTCTGAGAGAAGTAAAACTCTGAATTAAAACCATTCGAGAACGTAAAGGAAAGCTCTTAACTGTCTTTCACCAGAGATCTTGGTAATTTATGGTTAATAAAAAGAACATAGTGGAGAGCCATGATCGCTGCGTCCTGAAGGAACATGACATTAGAAAATATCGACATAAGAAAACAGGTTCATGGTAATTGTTCTGATGAACTTCCCACGCTGGAACCTTGACTTTATGAATTTAAGCGCAGTACTAGATTAGCGGTAAAGTCTCATCATTTTACAGTTGAAAATGCTAGATGTAAGTTCTATGCTAACAGTTTCTTCTGTCGCACTTCTTTCTTGTGGAACTCTCTACCGGTTTCTTAATTTCCAGTAAACTTTAAACTTCGAAAATTTAAATGCAATGTCAATCGTTATCATCTGTCTTCATAATTGTTCTTTTATTGTTCTCTCTTCTTAATGGTTCTTTTTTCTCATATTCTTGAACAGTCAGTAACCCAATGAGTCTTAGTGGCTTTTTTTGCCTTGCATAGGGTGAAATGATTAAAAAAAAGACAAAGTATCCCCAAATATCTGCACAGTGAGGTCAACACTCAATAGCGACAGTCTGTTTCATGCTTAAACATAAACTTCGTAGTCTGAAGAGTGCGTTTAAGCCTGAACCAAAATGTCGCCGCTAGGTGTTGACCACACTGCCCACCTTTGCATTTATACACACACACACGCACACCTACACAGGTTATATATAATTATCTGGATGTACTCGAAAAATTCTGAGTATTAATTTATAAGCTAACCGGCTTGCTCTAAAACTCAATTAGTAAAGTCTTGACTGTTATACTTGTGACGTTTAAGTTTTCTATTAGTTGCCATAATTCATCTTTCTTTTGTGTTTATTTTATTCTCGTTGAGCACAATTGATGATATATAAATACTTGGTCGTATTATGGATAGTATTTGTAGAAATTTTTCAGCAGTAAATTTCTTGGTGTACAGACACAACAGAGAAAAGAGGTTTGCGGATATAAACTAGTTACTACATTTTTTTTCTTCCGACTGGTAATAAAAGCAATCACATTGCCTAAAACGTATTGCAACTCCCTTTTTATGCTTGGCATGTACTGTGAACCGCTCATTTTATATCATTAATAGTTTGTAGAAACAAGAATACATGGTTATCAAGAAAAAAAGTTGGAAAATCCCGACATGCGTGTGCAAAGATAAGTCTAATACAATCTAACTTCATATGCAATGATGGAACTCACATTGAGTGATCATTTTATCAGATTGTACCACATACTCTCTGCATTCTACGTATATATGTTTACCTCTATCTCTGTTATGACAGTTTTAATTAGACTCCTGCTTTTTTATGCATTCTCGACGGTCACACAGTCTTATACAACAGTTACAAAGCCTTATATTTTCACATTATCTTGCTGCTTCAATTCTCACGTCGTGATATAAATAATACACGAGGTAGAAAAAGGCCTACGAAAGAGACCGTCATTAATATTACAAGCGTACCATAATTTAAGCGCAAACGTTCTCTGAAAAGATTGCTGAAATAAAAACAATCAGTCAATTATGTCAGATAAATCACAAAGGTCTGCTCTTGTTACTGAAGATGCATTAATATTCCCACTAAAGTGAAAGATAGGGAAGAATTCATGGGTATAGAGAAGGTCATAGAGAGAAAAAGAATTGACTCAGCTGAAGCATTGCGTCTATATAACTAATGACAAAGAGGACTGATATATAACCTGTGAAATTCATACAGAGAATGAATAATAGATTTATAGAATATTATGAAAATCTGATGATTGATGAAGGTATAATAAAAATATACGAAAAGAAAGGAAATTGGAATTAAATGTGATTGAATGATATATATATATATATATATATATATATATATATATATATATATATATATATATATATATATGTACATTTCAAACATATATATTGTTTTAAACTTTGCTACATAGTGCAAGAGTATTCGTGGTCGAGGATAAGGCTGATATCGTTGTAGAAATCTGCACAACATAGGATCTATCAGTTTCACACCTCAATTCAGACTTCAGTTTCGAATGATGTTCTGAAGGTCACACTGAAGCGTTAAACCGAGAGTCACCATACAGAGTTGATACCTCTGTCCGCACCGTATATATCTATATGTATATCAGTCTTTCTTTCATTTCTTGTTTCTCTCCCATCATTCACACACTCACTACACACATATGCATATATATATATATATATATATATATATATATATATATATATATATATATATATTTGTGTGTGCTTGTGTGTGTGCGTGTGTGAATAGAAAAATGAACAGTGAGGTCAACATATAGTGGCTTAAACGCGATCTTTACACCATGAAGAGTCAGTTTAAGGTGTTGACCTACAATCCACTTTTATATTTATATACATTCTATCACTGATAGTGGGCAGTTTAACCGGTAAATATAGCATCTATCCATCTATTTATCTCTCTCTCTTTATCTCTCTTTCTCTCTCTCTCTCTCTCTCTCTCTATATATATATATATATATATATATATATATATATATATAATAAGTATAAGAAACTATACTCGTTCGGAAAACCTTCGGTGTGTTGATTTGCAAATAAACAAGCTAATACCAAAGGGGAAAATGCTATAAAAAGAAAGCACCAAGAACATGTACTTTAACCGAAAATAATCGTCCGGAATGCAAGTCCAAAACCCAAAGAAAAAAAATACCGATGCGATTACGCAAAATAACGAAACAAAGTGCTCAATACAATCCTGACGATCCGCTTAGGTGAAACCTTGGTAGGTTTGTCTGGCTCTCTAGGTTTAACTATATATATATATATATATATATATATATATATATATATATATATATATATAGAGAGAGAGAGAGAGAGAGAGAGAGAGAGAGATAATATTTGTGTATTTGGCCAGCAATCCCTCTTTTATACATGTTTCATTAGAAACGATGAACAATCTAATGCGGTTAAGATTTCATTTAATTTTCTTGTGTTCTTATAATATTCTTAATTTCTGGAGGTAAATTATGTAGAAATTGTACAAATATTTTGTATGTTCCACGGTTTTCAGCTAGACTTTTAGCCATTATCATCCACATGTAAAAAAAATAAGGTTAAAAATAATGGAAGCATTAGTAATAAAAAATAAAAAAACAACACTTAATAATATCAACTATGAACACGGTCGCAATGTGCTGACCGTGTTTGGAAAATAAATAATTCCTATAACTCTAAATGCATACATGAAACTATCCATATATTCAGTTCAACGTAAAAATAAAACCATCCTTGATAATGGCTATGAGTACAGCCGAAAATACACGGACATGTAGAACATTCGGACAATTTCTATTTTATTTACGTCTAGAAAAGAAGAAATTTGTAAAATCACAAGAAACATTAAATAAAAAAAATCAACCACAGTAGCCATTTTTAATTAAACTTGTATATATATATATATATATATATATATATATATATATATATATATATATATATATGTCTGTACAGTCTGGGATCTATCTATCTATCTATCTATCTATCTTTATTTCTTTTTTTTTCTTTCATTTTGAGGAATCGGAAAGCCGAGTTCAAATTCGAGTCGAATCCATTACATTCACTTACGTGCTAAGGCCCTTGGGAAAGGTATGAATCCTCTTCTTCTCCCTCTACCAGCTATGGGTAAATAGCAGGGCAGACTGGGTTCTATAGCCTTGGATGGCAACTTGTCTACCACAGAAAGAAATGGCAAACTACTACAGGAAAAGAATCTGTCTCTTTAGTCATGTATCGAAAGATACATGATCGCCTAAGCGTGTATCGCGCATGGCACATAACTGACTGACGGTCTGGAATAAATAAAAGAAAGAAAGAAAGAAAGAAAGATAGATAGATAGATAGATAGATAGAGAGAGAGAGATTTTACTGAGATTTATCGCTACATACAAAAGCAGAATTAGCCATGTAGAACAGCACATATGAACAGGTTGATATATAAATCAGTCATAATAATTAATTGATAAATTGATCGTTAGACATGAACAAAGTAATAATACGTGTTTTAGATGGACA